TTTGAGATTGAGAACGTTCAGAAAGGTTGATGTGTTTGAGCCACTATTTCCACTTTTAAGAATTTCCCTAATGATGAGCATAGCATAACATACAGAATGGTAGAATCATTATTTTGTACACCTGAAACTATTGTGTCAACTATACTTCAATTAAAAAAACCTTCCCTAATGAAACAATCAGGGATTTGAACAAAGACTTGTGTGTTTAACTCAGCATTATTGATAAAAGTCATTAGAAACAACCTGAATATCCGACAACTGAGAATGGAAAACTGAATCAATAATACGACCATTTAATGTAGCCGTTAAAAATGATTTAAAAAAAAGAATATTTAATGATACTGCAAAGCACCTTTAATATAAATTATTGGAAAAGGCAAGACATTATAAATCCCTGTTTTAAAAAAATAATTTAAGTGTGTGTGTGTGTGTGTGTGTGTGTGTGTGTGTTAGGGCTCCTTGCTGCTCAGGAAAATTCTTAGCTGCTATTCTTTCCCTGGAACTCGCCGCATGAGCTGTCCATATGAGAAACAGCTCCATCTGTCCCTTGTGACTTTCCATCTGGGGCTCACATTGAAAACTTCTGTTTGTTTTCTCTGTCCGTGACACTTTCACCCACATGGTGTCTCTTGATTGGTAGATGCATGAGCCTCTCACCGTACCTCAGTTTCAGGGGCTTGGGGGACAGCTGCCTGTTTTTGAGGTGCCTCCTAGGGTTCCCCAGAATGACTTCCGTGTATCTCAAACATACCCTGAAAGTTTGGTAAAAATACTCCCGGAGCTGTTCTGTGATGCAGTAACAGAAAGGCAGGCAGAGAACTAATTTTAACCACGCTGAAAAAAGGATTTGAAGGACACATGCTAAATATAAATGATGGCTATCTGGGTGATGGCATTATTTCCTTTCTGGAATAGGCCTATTTTTCTCTATTTTCCATTTCAGCTGCAAAGATCATGTGCAACTTCTATAAGGATGAACGAGGATGTTTTTGTATTTTAAAAACTAAAACTAACTAAATTAAAAAAAAAAAAAAATCACCCTAAGTCACCAGTAGGGGCAGTGCGTGTCCAGGGCCTGCTGTTGCCATCTTGGCATGGGGCAGTGCACCTGGTGGAGGGGTGGGGGGAGTCCACTCAGACTCTCGGACCCTGTACCTGTTCGCTCATGGTGTTGATCCCATCGGGCCCCAGGAGAGACACTGCCTGCTTCACCAGGTCCGTTCGCCCACAGTTCAGCATCCGGAAACCCAGGTCCTGCTTAAACTTGGCTTCGATGGCCACTGCATCCAGCTTCCGAGAAGCACAAAAGCAGTCGTCGGCCCTAAGGAAGGGAGAGATGGTCAGTTGGGTGCAGCGGCTTCCTCGGGAACTGGTCCGTGAGGACCAGGAGAGCTAGAAAGCACCAAGGATCCTTTGCATTTTCCATGCCAACAGCCTGTTCCTAGGCTCCAATTAAAATATGGACGTCTTGATCCTTTGTCCTTGTAACTGTTGCACCTCTGTCTTCCTCCATGCTTCCAGAGCATGCTGAGCTAAATATGGTGAGAGCTAATATTTACTGAATGTTGACCATGGGCTAGGCACTCTGTTAAACTCTTTACGTGAGTTAGTTCATTCAGCCCCCACACAGCCCCAAAAGGCAAGTGCTATCATTACCCCTCTTCTAACCATGACGATAAATACACAGATAAAGGACTTGCCCAGGGCCACAGAGCCAGCAACCTGTAGTGGACCCTGTCCCAGCCCCCTTTCTATCCCCTCCTCTTGCTAACCCAGAGGGTGGAAACTGAGGAAAAGAGCCACGTGTTTAGAATTCCTGGTCCCATTCCTGCTTCTAACTAAGCCACTTTGTGGCATAAGGAAAGGTTCAGTTTGTGAGGGAACTACCTTCTTTTTTATCGTTGGAGGAAAAGAGAGGGGCTACTGTTCCCGAAAGTTTATGGCACTGAGGCTCCTGTTCATCAGTAAGGCTAGGACCTGGGGGAGAGCCCTTCAGGGGTGAACCACAAAAGGTGCCTCAGGAAGTGGGTGGGATGGGTATGTGCCTGACTCTTCATTGGTTTCTGATGTATCATTCATCTCTGCCTGGGCAGAAGGCTACCGTGAAATAGGAACCCAGGGTAGGACATAGTAGGGCTCTGGACAGGAGACAGTAAGTTTGCTTCTCGCCACCAGGGGGAGCTGATGCAGTGAAGATAGAAACCAGAGAAAGACGACTGAAAGCTTGGTGTTGATGTGGGGTCTAACCTGCATGCACAGCTCAGGAAGCTGGGCGTCTGGCTAAGCCTCCAAGGGCCTAGTTGTATGAGCACGGAGAGAGACCAAGGGAGGCCCACAGTTGACCAGGAGCCTGGACTCCAGGATTAAGACCTTTTCATGGCAGGCTGGGGAGCCAAGACCACCTAACACTGTTAGAGGACTCTCTAGGGAAGATGGAGGGCCCCGCAGGTGGTGGGGGAGGACTGAAGGACCCTGGGCCTCAGCATCCAAGATGTGTTGGGGTTTGTGCAGTAAGGCTTGATACATGGGGCTCTAGACTTGGGACCCTCACAGTGAGCGTTGCTAGATTTAGCAAATAAAAGTACTTAAGTAAATACTGCATGGAACAAACTTACACTAGAATGTTATTTGCTGTTTATCTGAAATTGAAATTAAACTTTTTTTTTTTTTTTTAATTTGGAAAAGGGCAGAGCCACTGCCAAGATTTGAAAAGAACACAGGGAGAGACCACAGATCCCAGCATTTCCAGGGGAAGAGAGGAAACCCCTGTGTGGTGGTACGCTGCATCTAAGTTTCCTAAAAATAAAAATGGTCCAGGCCAAATGGACAGGACAGAGCAAAGAGGGTGAGAGCAACGGGGCCAGGTTCTGGGGCATACAATAGAGGCTTCTGGAAAGGGAAAGGGGGTGGTCTGCATGTGTCGTGTTGAGGTGTCTGGAGCCTTGACTGGGTGGGGTGTATGTACAGATCTTGGGGAGGTATCAGATTTGACTAATTGTAGGGAAAACTTTTCTTCTAACAGACCACTATCTAGTCCGGGAAGAGGTTGATTTGTGAAATCAAGAGCCTCCTTCTTGAGAGCAAAGATGCTATGAATTGCCATTGTCAGTGAATTTGCAGTTTCCTCTCTCCTGTCTGTGTCTAAGCCCCTTCTGCTCTCCTCCATGCTTGACTGACTGACTCAAATGAGCATTTTTGTTTTGGCTGGAGTCAAGTTGAATTCCACGTGACTGGAGAAATGTTACTGAACACCTACTCTGTGTGGGCACCGTGATAGGGGGCTAGGAGGCGGGAGACACACACCCCACCCTGTATTCCCTGAGAGCCCAGACTCAGAAGCCAATAACTCCAAGAACATCAGCACAAGTGTTTACCAGCTACAGAGGCCCTTGATTTTAATTACAAAGAGACAAATGGCAAGGAAATTCCTGTAGCTAAGATGGTGATGATAATAATTGTTATTATAGGAAGCTAACGTTTATTGAGTTCTTACTATCGAAATCTAAGCTCTTTCCCTGTATGAAGTCATACAGTCATCACGACAAGTCCACAACGGAGGTGCTATCAGGGGCCCCATTCTAGAGTTGAGGAACCTGCCCACGTCACAGAGCTGGTAAGCAGCGAGCCCGTGTACTACCGCTTTCTTGAGCACATCTCTTGGATGTCTCCCGGACTCTCAGATGTGGCATGTCCGAAATGCAACTTTTTCTTAACACGTCCACCCCCCCATCCTCCAAACCTGTCCCCCAGTCATCCCGTCTCTGTGAATGGCACCCCTGTCCACCCAGGTGCTCAGGCCAGAACCTTCTCCCATGCTCATGGCCATTCCATCAGCTGTTGATTTCACCACCCCAATCCCAAATCCATCCACGGCTCTCCGGCTCCACTGCCCACACACGGGTTCCAAACACCGGCCTCTCGTCTAGATGAGTGCAGTGGCCTCCTCACGGGTCTCCATCCAAACCAGTCTCTTTCTCTCTTTTTAAAAGATTTATTTATTTCAGAGAGAGAGAGAGGGAGGGGGGAGAGAGAAAGAGCATGAGCGAGGGTGGGGGGAGAGGCAGAGGGAGAGGGAGACAAGCAGACCCCATGCTGAGCAGGGAGCCCACCGCAGGGCTCGATCCCAGGACCCTGAGACCACGACCTGAGCTGAAATCAAGGGTCAGAGACTCAACCGACTGAGCCACCCAGGTGCCCCCAAACTAGTCTCTTAGGCAAGAGTGAGCTTAAAATGTAAGTAAGACTGTGCGGTGCCTCTGCTTCAAAGCTTCCCAGGCCTTCCCCTGTACTGAGACTAGAATCCAGCTCCCGGGGCCTGGCCCGCAGGCTCTGCAGGGGTGAGGCCCGTCCCCAAGTCTTTCGGCAGGTGCCGCCCTCCACTGGCCTGGGTCTCTCCTGCCTCGAGGACTTTCTTCTTGCTCTTCCCTCTCCTGGCTCTTTGCGGGGCTGGCTCCTTCTCACTCCTCAAATATGAACTTGAATGTCACGTCCAAAGGAGGCCTTCTCTAAAGGAGGGCACACCCCTTTCCTGCCTTTACACGCCCCGTCTCTGGCCAATTTCATCCTCCCCTTTCTTAGCACTTTTCACAATCTGTGACTACTCCATTCTATTCTTCCTATCTGTCTGTCTGTCTGTCTATCTACCTTACCGTTTGTTTGCTGTCAGCCTCCTGGGGGCAGGACCACATCGATCCTGTGGTGCCTCTTACGTTCTTGAAGCATACTGTCTTAACTGATGGGGGGGCCATGCAAGACCTGCCATTTATTCTTGAGAGCAGACGCCAGGAAACACCTGTTTTTCAAGAATCCCTCAATCCTACAAAATGAGTAATGGTTACCGAATGTTACCAGCTAAAGCAGGTAAGAAACAGTTTCCACAAAGGCTTGTGAAAACATGGCTTTCTATTCAACCTGGTTTGTTAGAAAATTTAACTCTGCGACATTCAAATTCCTGCAGCATTCCTGTAAACACAACTCAGAGCTCCACTGATTCTTTCTGGAAGGCCTCGGAAGGATCTGCCACTGAAGACCGATAGGTCCCCCTGGGGCCTGGGCATTCGAATACGTGCGCCTTCCGAAGAGTGGGACTTATTTATGCAGAAATCTATTAAGCCACTCACCTGGGGCTTCACCAGAAGGTGATCAACTCTGTGGTTTTCCCCTCTAGTGGCTTTCAATGACGCCATAGAAAATCTGATCAATTTAAGTAAGAGGTCAGCTATGGAAGTAGTCCATTTCTCTGATTTCTCAAGGGCCCCGGCCCCAAGAGATTGGCTCAGTATTTTCCACCCCTTCAAGAATGTGACTTCAGAAAGATGTTTTCCAGGAAGCCTGCAGGCCTGAGCATAGCAAGCAATCGAGTTGCCTTTTCTCCCCTGGGAAGGAGGCAGCTCTGGAAGCATTGGAAGGAGGAGGAGGGCTGTTGGTGTGTTCTGCTGATCTCTTGATATAGTCCCAGTGACAAATGCAAGCAGGTGAGGCCTCAGACACATTTTATTCATATATTCATTTTTAAAGCTAGCATACATGTGAGTTGTGAGCATGAACCCTGGTTCCCAGTGCTGCCTACTTAGCAGCTGTGTGATCTTGGGGCAAGTTCCTTAACCTCTCTGTTGTTCAGTCTCCTGAGCTGTAAAATGAGTTTAGTAAGAACACCTTCCTCCTAGGATTTTGGATGTGGGTTAAATGAGACAATCCATGTACAGTGCTTAGAAGAGTATAGAGCTTAGCACACGGCTCTCATGAAATGTTAGCGATCTCATATCATAATCATTACTGTAAATCACAAAGCAAGGTGTAGACTGGAGAGAACACACTGCATTTGGAAGGACCAAATACAGAGACTTGGAGACTGAAGAACACTGTAGTAATAGCGCTTCTTAAGGTCTCAAATTAGACACCGTAGCTAACAAATTTCACCAGAATAAAGGCAGTCCTTCTCCCAGTGGGGAAACCCTGGCCCCCAGAAAGGCTGCCATGCCTCAGCATGCTTTTGAAGTAAACTGTAAGTGATGACAGAGGCTGGGAAGGGAGGAGGATGGGGGGTCACGCTTGAAGAAAGCACAGTTTCTGGAACAGTTCAACAAGCAGGAAATGGCAGAGCAGAGCCACTCAGGAGGCTGGGGGCCTGCCCAGCTTGGCTCCCAGCCCCTCTTTTCTCCCTTATCCCCAGGACGAATCCTGACTCCACTGATGCAGGAAAGTGCCAGGCAGTTTCCAGGCTCCCTGAGCATGGACTCTAGGCTAACTCTGGTAAGCTCATCCCCAGTGGTTGCCTGACAGCCTGGGTTTGTCACTCACTGCTTATGCTGTGCACTAACC